ATGTAACAACCCTCCGAATGGTTTGTGTAAGTACAAATGTGTAACAGGACATTGGTAACAACACTTTTTGGTAATTAAAGTATAAATGTGTATCAGGACTAACAGCACTTTTGGTCCCATTTTATATTAAGTGGCCCTAATACCTGTGTACTTGCATAGTAACTAGATGTGTACGTAGTATGTAACCACAGTGTAAGTACACATTGGTACATAGTAGCTACAGCTCTGATGTTTGTGTAACTACACATATGTAACAACCCACTGAATGGTATGTACAAATGTGTAACAGGACATTGGTAACAACACTTTCTGGTAATGAAAGTATAAATGTGTAACAGGACTAACAGCACTTTTTGGTAAAGAAAGTGTTAACACTTTATATTAGATTTATCATGTAATTACTCTGATGTTATACAGCAGCGGCCAGTAAGTTGGGCTTTACATATAAATTGTGGTTGGTGTCCAGAATGTTACACTTTATATTAAGTGGACAGTTCCTGAGGAGTTACCATGTAAGTACACTGGTATTACAGTGGTGCACCAACTCCAACTCGAGATCCAACTCCTCCCACTTTACATATCCCTAAACCTACCCATCTCCACCCCCTGGATCAAATTGTTCCAATTACTCTTATACATATTGCTGTTACAAAATGTAGTTATATAATTCCTGTTACACAAGTACTTAGTGAAGTGAAAAAAAAGTGTTGTTACCAATGTCCTGTTACACATTTGTACTTACACAAACCATCCTGAGGGTTTTGGCGGGGTTCCCCTGGTAAAATTTGCATTCCAGGGGCTAAATATCACGTTAATTAGGTCGTTTTTCAACCCGCGGACATGAAAAACAACCCGCGGCAACAGTGTTAAAGCAGCCCAATTTCGCGGGAAAACCGCAGACTTAGCAACACTGGAAGAGGATAGCTTTCGGATAGCGCATCAAGAACCGGGTTGACCGGGTACTCGGTACCACTGGTACTTAAAAAAACCTGGTACCGTAACGTTTTCATTTTTTTAGTACCGACTTGGTACCGAAATACCGGGTCTTTTGACAACACTAGTTGTTACATGTGTGTAGTTACAGAAATATTACAACTGTAGATACTATGTACCAATGTGTACTTGCATTGTGGTTACATACTACGTACATATTTAGTTATGTAAGCACACAGGTATTAGGGTTACTTAATATAAAGTAGGACCCTGTTTCTGTTCTGTTTAAACTGGGCTAATTTTCATTTGCCTTTTTTCACCATAGACCTCATGCCGCTGAAAGAGGAGTGCATAGTACCGAATGAAACGGAAGAGAAAGAACAATACGAGACTCTTCATGATTTTAAAACCGGAGAAGAATCTTTCAGTTGGCCACAGATTAAAGAGACTTTCTCACAGAAAACAGCTCATGAAACAGGAACTACAAATTATTTCACCCCTTTTCACTGTGAAAAGAGTTTTGATGAACATGGAAACCTTAAAGTCCACATGAGAATTCACACTGGAGACAAGCCTTACACCTGCCCTGAGTGTGGAAAGTGTTTCGACCATAATAGAAACCTTAAAGTGCACATGAGAGTTCACACTGGAGACAAGCCTTACACCTGCAAACAGTGTGGAGTCAGTTTCTCTCATGAAGGAAACCTTTACAGGCACATGAAAATTCACCCTGGAGACAAGCCTTACACCTGTCCTGAGTGTGGAAAGAGTTTCGATCATAATGGAAGCCTTAAAGTGCACATGAGAATTCACACTGGAAAGAAACCATATTCCTGTCTTCAGTGTGGAAAGAGTTTCTATAATCAGGGAAACCTTAAAGTGCACATGAAAATTCACACTGGAGAGAGTCCTTTTATCTGCCAACTGTGTGGAATGAGCTTCATTCATAAAGGATTCCTTAATAGACACATGAGAATTCACACTGAAGAAAAGCATTACGTGTGCCATCAGTGTGGAAAAAGTTTCAATCGAATAGGAACTCTTAACAGGCACATGACAATTCACACAAGAGAAAACCTTTATACATGCCCTCAGTGTGGAGAGAGTTTCGATCTACATGAAAGCCTTAAAGTCCACATTGGAGTTCACATTGAAGAGAGTCCCTTTACCTGCCAACAGTGTGGAAAATGTTTTACTCGAAAAGGAAACCTTAGCAGGCACATGAGAAGATTACACTGCATTTGTTCAACAAAAACTTGATCAACACACGAGGATTCATTTGAGAGAACTGTTTTATGTCATCAGTGTGGAAGGAGTTTCGCAGACATATGGAAATGAAAGTGGTTAACAATCAACCCGTTGTTTTTCATCAGTAGTATTATTTGTGATTTTAATTTTGTGAACGGGAGTTCCTTTTTTGCTGTTATAAGCCAGGCTTCATGCACTTTCACTTCTGAATTCGCGATATTGTCAAATTTTAAAAGATAAATTGTGTTGTCACACAAAAGATAATAGTCTGTTTTGCTTACATACATCTACACACCTTTCACTTTTTAAGACTAAAACAAAAGATGGATTCATTGTTATTCTTAATTAAAAGCACAACAACAATAAAACCGTACGATAGAATGACAAACTAGCTTAAAAAAAAACGTTTATTAACAAAAAACGAATAAGATGAGGCATGGCATACACCACATGCTGTATTATATACTGATTAATAAAAATTCAGATAGCCTAAAAAAGAAATAATTGAGCCTCCATAGCGTAACGTGAGGTAAACAGCAAAGATAAGCGGTATTTTACTTTACTTTAGATTGAAAACCATCCATCGTTTTGCATAATTTTTGCTGCGCGCACCTTCGCGCTCGTGCTGACTTGGCGAGTATAACTCATGGCTCTACACTCAAAGCGCTGCGCAGTTCAAACGAGTAGCGAAGTTTCGTTATGCTTTCAGTTTCGTTTGCCGTTTGATGTTTCTCATAAGCGTCAGAATTGGCAGCGCTTATGAGTTGAACAACGCAGTGTTCGCACCAGTGTGACCGCTCACACAATTTAGTCGCACAGGCAGAAAAAATGGTCACAAAATGCGACCATTTTGTCGCAGTCTGGAGCCCTGGCGTTCTTCGTACGTCGTTTATTACATCCGAGATCAAATGACACGTCCAAGATGATATCATCGCGCTAATCATGATCTGGCTAATTCGGTTCTTCGAACACACCTGTTGTTGATGATTAGTATGGCTGGATTGAGTTATCTGAGATAATTGCACATTCATGGGTTGGTTTAAAAGAGGCTATATATCGATACTCGAAACCACAATCAGCAATTCAATTCAAGTTTATTTGTTGTAAGGGAAACGGGTCAATTTAGCTCAAAGGGAATCATTTAAGATTTTATAGGGAATTTGGACAGAATCACTGTTTTATGGCTGATCACTGAGTCTGCCATCGATTCATTGAACGAGCCGTATAACATCAATTCTGCATGGATATTAATATCCAAAATATAGTGAAAACACTATTTATTAGCACAGTAACAAGATCGGCAGTTTAAGACATTAACTTGTAAGCACAAAACACAAGATACTTCTCTTTTCAATATAAATAAGGCTTTATTAGATAAATCTAAGACATAAACTAGTCTAACACATATAAACACACGCACTCACACATTCACACAAGTTGCAGTGTAACGGTGGTGGGCCCCAGAAAACAGTTTAAATCAATACTTGAATAACTAAATTAAAGTGTTCGGGCGCCAGACAGGAGTAAGCCTGTCAATATTTAAATAAACCCAGATGAGCTCTAAAAGCCACCGGTTACAAGCCAAAATAAGTTTACACTCTTTTCAACAACCACAAAAATAAAGAAATGAACAGAATAAATGCACAAGAAATCGAGGGTTTTAGTTCAAAGTCCTATTATATTTTCATATACACAAAGTACAATTGTCCAACAAAAATCATTACATCACTGGTACACCTTTACACCTTGTCAAAGAGAGAGAGGGGAGGGAAAAAAACAAACAACTGTTGCGGATATCGGGTGATGCCGGTCCACTCTATTCCCGCATTCAATTCGATAGATTTAAGAGTCCAGTTCTCAATGGATATAACCACTAAGGAGAAAGGAAAATAAATAAATAAATATACATTCAAACAAGGTTGATATAGGAAACTGTTCAGCTTATAATATTTTTTTTTAAATATACTCACACACCAAAGGACAATGAAGGTGTGTGGCGAGAGTGGTGTGTATATGTGCAGACGAGACGCTACTCCCCAGAAGTCTGCTTGGAACTCAAGCTTTGAAAGACGAATTGGAGGCTATGAAGGAAGGTACCTGGGCAACACACACTTTAGCGCCCGAATCCGAACACACTCAGCACTGGTATCCTTAGTTTGGAGAAATCGTTCCTCAAAACACTAAATCGATCGCCCAGCACCATACAAAGTGTGCACTCGTAGATAATCCTGCGTCTTTTTACCACAGATATTTGTGATCACCGTCGTCCTCCTTCCTTCCCAAATCCACTCTTACTTTTTCCCCTCCCTTTTCCTCTTTTTACTACTCCTTAAATACAATTACTTCACTTCCTTTCCGATTACGCTGCCATTCCCATTCGTTGTGACTTTCTAGCGCCGCCACAGCAGGAAGAGAGAAAGTGAGGAAAGAATGAGTTTAAGAGAATGAAAATGTGAAATCCCAAGTTTACAGCAATATGTGCAATTGCATAGATCTGAACAACCATCAATCACTTAATTAACCCTCGCATTGAGTTCCTCAATGAGGTTAAAATTTATATTAAATGCACCAGTTCAGCTAGAATCCGGAGGTACTTGCCTTGTCTGTGTAAAGGGGTTCCCTTGCAGAAAAGGGGGTTTCCCGAGGTTGCTGATTGGCTGGAAGTTCAGTAGTCGTTGAAGTGACGTCTTGGGAAGCCAATGGTTGGGCGTTGGCTGAAGATGCGGAGTTGTGGGCTGGTTGAAGTTTTGAGGCGGTCACAGACGCGAGGTGAACTTGGAGACAAAACTTAACTCAGAACACGAAACTCTCAACAGAAAATAAAAGAAATTAAAGTAGAAGAATAGAAGTAACGAGACTAGATGGGTTTTCTCCTCGTGATTTTAGAGGAGCTGCTGGCGTGTAAGCCAGAGCACGCTCAAAGAGCGCTAAAAAACAGCGTCAAAACGCGGTGGCAAAAAGGCTAGAATCTAAAAGCTAAAAAGCGTAATTTGATGGTGTCCTGAGTATTTAAACGGGGCTATGGGACACCTCCCAAATGGTGTCTTGACCAGTTAGATATTGTCTTTGCTTCGGGTGTTGTAAGCTATTCAATAGTTATTAAAAAGACATACATAAGTTATTAGAACATGACAGTCAAATGTGTGGGTTACATACATGATATGGAGTTAAGCAATGGACTGACATTCGTTTAAGTCTTTTTGAGTTAATTTTGGTGCATCTACTTCTGTAAAACAGTTTCTGTGCCATTCTGTGAACATAAGGACATGTTCTGTGAAGACCAGAGGTTAAAAGGTCTCATAAAGAATCTCAGTCTGGTCTTTGTCTTCTAGGTGGGGGAAACTCCCGTGGCAAAAACAGAGAAACAAATAGAGACATAATTAGCGTAGCTGCTGTTCCAACCAAACAAAATTGATTGCAATGCAGCGATTGACTGACGGCAAGACAGCCCCCTGAACGCCCCCCAGGAGACTCTGGTGTATATTCAGCAGGATTCTATATTGAAAACGTGCTCAGTTTTGGACTTGGAGTCAGCCTCAAAACATGGATACTTTAGGCAATATAGAAATCCTAGCCAGGACATATGGTAACACTGTAGAAAGACATCATTCCTTGTCAAAATCTTTACCTACTTGAAAATAAAATAAGTCAAATTTTTTTATCTGTTTATACACATTATCACCATCATCACTTGTGATCGTGATTACTATCATGGATTTACATGTGATGGTCATGCTGTGCATCTCTTTCAATCAATCTTGATTACTTGCCCAAAAATTGACAATCTCCTTCCTGAGTTGTTATGATCAATGTGTTTTCACCATCATCAACAAAGTGAAAATAATTGGTGAAATACCTGGTTTGGTAAAGTGATCAGCCCTTTACGCCGGGTTCACACTGCACGATTCGAATCGCTGCTCTTCTCACACTTCACGACTGTCTGGGGTAGCACCTAGTTGCTGTTGTGAGCACATGACACACCGGATCGGTGACAGTGGGTCAAACATTACACAACTTCTCAATAGGAAGAATCGCTGAAACTCTTAGTTTTTATTGTCTACAAACTATGTTTCACAACCAAGCACACTTGAGAATTGAAATGGGAAATAACATAATATTCAAGAGAATGGATTTATCCCTGTCAAAAATGGTAGCCCGCAAAAAGCTTGCAGTCCAAGTTGACTGTACGCTGATTTGCAGTGAGAAAAAAGAAGAATATGAAGGACAGAATGGTTTCTTGCAGACGCCATATGTGCTGATGTTTTGATGCAGATCTATGACTTCACCCCCAACATTTCCTTTGTCCTGTATCTTGCTCTCTTATTGGCTGTTGGTCGTCACCGGTGTCATTTCTAGTCAAAACACATATAATACTGCAGGGCTGTGAGTGGCCAACAAGTCCAGATATTTAGCATGCCAAATATCTCACAGGCATTGGTGATGCATTGACGTTTCTCCCAGATCACATCTTTCATAACAAACACTACGTGATTGTCACTCACATGAACAAGCACAGATTTGTCAGCGATTTCCACAAAACTGTCAGAGAGTGAAAATCGGGGCGAAAATTGTGCAGTGTGAACCCGGCATTAGAGCATACCAGGGATAGTTAACTTTGATCCTGGGCTGCGTTCCACTCCACTTCCTTAAGCACTTCCCCTCGGGGGAATCCCCGCTGCCATTTTGAAGTGCGTTCCACTTCGTGAAGTGGACGAGGGAAGTTTATATGGACAGACCCTGGACCCCTCGATTTTGACCGAGTGAGCGAGTCTGCTTCATAAGCTCACTTAAGTCCTCTCCATAGACCACAATGCAACACGATTGTGACGTCACCACAGATCACGTTTAATTTATCCCCACCCCAAACAACTCTATAATATATAAATGATTTTTTTTTTTTACATTTATAACAGCCCAAACATACCTATATACATATAGAATGCTGC